AACTGTAACTGATAATAGTTTGTTGTTGAAATGTAATCATTTCTTTCTTTTTAGATGCACCAAGCTGCAATCATGAAGATTTCCATGAAGAAATGCATTCCCATGTGCAATTTTGTTGTGTGATCATCTAGAAAAAATCCCTTGGATGGACCACTGCATATTTAACATAAACAATCCACCTTTTTGGGAATAAACAATCCACCTAGTTATGCTGTAAGAACACTTGAAGAAGAGGTGCATACCTATTTCTTCAACACCCTCATGGCACATTGCACAATTGTATCCTTCATACAAGAATTCCTTCCTTCTCCTCAGAATGTTCCTAGTGTTCAAACGGTCATTGAAGAGGAGCCACATAAAGAAAAACTTAATCTTGGGGATGTACTTTGACTTCCATAACCAAAGAACCAAAAGCCAGTGGTGAAAGGGAGGCAAAGTGATGAATATAAAACTTGGCAAGTTTATATTGTGAGTTCCAAATATATGTCCGCGGGCCATTTGTCAAGCCAGCACCTCGTAGAGCATTCAAAATATCCTACAATTTCAAAATTTCATCAAAAGCATGCTATGACATTGGGAGTCTGAGAAGATTTAGTTCAGCAATAGCCACTCTAAGTGACAAGTTCACATTCTCAGCATAATGAAAAAGATGAGGGAACTGTGTTGTTAGGAGCTCATCCAGATAACAATCAGTCCAGAGATACTAAATCCTTAATTCCTGGGGAAAATTTGGTGATGCCTTTGAAGGCCATAGAAAGACTCTGAATATCCCTCCACTAGAATGAGCACAAGGATATTCACCAAGAATAATGACACTATAGGGTCAAGTGCAAGTTGGGTGCTTAGAATGTAGTTGTCATAGTGTGTATAGGTCTTTGTTTTATCTTTGGTCATACTATAAGGAGGTCCAAAACTAGTAGCTTAATAGGAATTAAGTTGAGAGCATTTAGATGCAAACATATACTCCCACTAAGTCAATGCAAAAGTGGTCTCACTGGATTGGTTTTAAGCTGAAGATCTCAAATAAGTTGAATTAGATGAGATTAGACTTAAAACGAGCAAAAAATATACACAGGATGATTAGGACCTTCTCAGTATACCATTTAGAGGCATTGTGTGTACTTTAGTTTTGAACTTGCTCACCGTATGATTAAGTGCTCTGTTAGTATTTGTTGATGCAAATAGAAAGATCCACAAGTGCACAAATACCAATGTAGCTTTCACTCAAGAATATTTCAACGTATCTATTTCCATGAGAAATGAGAAGTGTATTAATAAAGGATGACGTTCGTCAAGGCTAAAGGATATAGTTCATCCGAGGGTAAAGACATATTTCTCTCCTTAATTGATATGAGTCTGAAAGGCAACACTACTGTTAGGATCTAGGAGCCGACTAGAGGGGGTGAATAATCATTTCTAAAACTTATTCGTATCGGCTAACCGAAACAAATATGGAATTAAACTAATCGATCTAGAATTAACTAAACCTCTCTATCTATGTTCACAAGCATCTTAAAAGGATCATAGTTAAAGAAACTATGGTGCCAAGCTAGAGAGAGCTCACCTAAACAAGTCTAGTTAGCAAGGTCAAACAAATATATGCAACTAGTCAACTAAGCACACTAGGAGCTCCTACACATACTAGTGAGCAAAGCGTACAAAGCCTAAGCACCATTAGCACAACTCAACCAGCAAATCTACTCAAGCTAAGCTAGAGAGCTATCACTACTTAGCTACACGAACTAAGCAAGGCAACTAGCTACACAAGCTAAGAGAGCAACTGGTTAACTACACAAGCCAACTAGCTACACAAGAGCAACTAACACAAGCACAAGTATTAACAAGTAAGGTAAGCTTGTGTTAGGGAATTGCAAACCAATAGGAAGATGATGACATGGTAATTTTTTCCCTGAGATTCGGAGGGTTTGCCAACAACTTAGACCCTGTTGAGGCAAGCCCAAAGTTGTCGCTGATCCTCTTCCCAATGGTGGCCCGCAAGCCCACACTCTCCCCTCGAGAAGTACCTACATAAGAGCTATAGTAGTTCATTCGGCTGGACCACTTGGTGCTCTTCGCACCTCGCTTCTACTAGAGTTGCTCTTCATGTCTCCTGTGGGCGAGCGCAACACTGCTCACAAAGGCTTCTCCAGAGCCACACACAACCTTCACGTTGAAAGCCCTAGTTTGGTATTGGATAATTGATGAAACCTAAGTACTAACCTATGTCATCAAGTGTGAATATGAGCTAGGTTGGTACATCCAAGCAATGGAGCTAGATGATGGTGATCAAGGTGTTGGTGATGACCAAAAGAGATTATCAAGTGCTCAAACTTGGAAAAGAAGAAAGAGAAAAATAAAAACCAAGTGTTGATCAAGACAAAGGTATCAAATAGGTTTTTGTTTTGGCACTCAAGACACCATAGAGGGTGTGAGTGTATTTAAGATCGATAGCCGTACTAGAAAGAGGGGAAATTTTTGGCTAAGCGGTTATCGAGTGCCACTAGGTGAAGTGATTCTTGCATATGCATTAGTGACCTAGTGTGCTAACTTCTAACCCTTGAAAAATGCTAACACATGTGCACATGGGTTATACACAATGTGGTTAGCAACTTGGAAGCAAGGGTGAAGTGATTGAGGAGATAGAAAAAGAAAAGGGGCGAAGGTACATGCCCGGATGTTGGCTCAGGCAGGACTGGACCCTGCCAGCCGAGTCCGGTCATGCGCAGCAGAGAGGGCACGGCTCGGGGTCATGATCGGACGCTGGTGGCATGGCACGACCTGACGCGTGGGAAACACTGTTCCCGCGTCTGGTCTTCATGCTGAGGCGTGTGCGTGGTTGAGAAGAAAGGACCGGACGCTGGACGCATAAGGTCATCTCTGACCGGGCGCATTCGGACTTCAAAAATCATCTCTGAGTGCTTTCTGAAAGTGACCGGCCTCCATGTGTTGGTGAGTCCGATCGTTTGAGATGCGCGTCCGGTCATAACTTAAACGTTCGCATGTTCACCTTTTGACCATTGAAATTCGATGGTCGTAGTTCAAAGTGTGGACATGTGGACGGCGTCGAAGGACCAGATGCTGGGGTGTGTCCGGTCAGCGAGTCCGGTTGGCTCTATGACAGCCAACGGCTCTCTAAGCCTTGAGGGCTCTATAAATAGAAGTGGCTCGGCTTTGGCTCACTCTCTTGCATATTTTCATCGGTGATACATCCTTGTGAGCCTAAGCAAACACCTCCCACTCATCTCAATCATTGATTCATCATCAAAGTGAAATTGGGAGTGATTTCTAGTGCATTTGCTCATGTGATTGTATCTAATGGCACATGGGGATCTTTGTGGCTGCAGATTTCTTGTTACTCTTAGTGGTTACCGCTACCTAGATAGCTTGGAGCAGCAGAGAAACATTGGCACAAGTTGGTGATTGTTCAAGGCCATCTCCCGGTGATTGCGAGGGGTCTTGTACCTTCCCTGGTGGAGAGCTTAAAGGTAACTCTAGTGGATTGCTCGTGTCATTGAGTTACCTCACTTGTGGGTAGGTTCTTGCGGCGCTCAAGTGGTGGGCTAGGTTTGTGATACCTATTAGCCGCCGAACCACCAAGTGTTGGTCGACAAAATGAGGACTAGCGTGCCGACAAGAACGTGAACCTCGGGAGAAAAATTATGTGTCTCTTGTCTCCTTTGGTATTCTCCTGAAGCTCTTTGGTATTCATATTGATTGATTGAGCGCTTGCCTCAAACGGTATAATCACCCTACTCATCTCCCTTGTATTACATTGTTACTTACTTGTTGTAGTTGAGTAGTGTAACTCTCTTGTTAGTTTAGTTGAGTAGCTTGCTTAGTCTCTTGTTAGTTGTTAGCTAGCTCAACTAGAGTTAGAGTAGTGACATAGCCTTTGTGTGTGCATAGAGATTGTAAAGAACTAGAATTGTGGGATAGATGGCTTGTAAGCCTTGTAGAGTTAGAGCAAAATTGTATTTCACCATTTAGGTTACTAGCCCTTTTCTCTAGTGTATTTATAGATATCTTTTAGGCTATTCACCCCCTCTAGCCATTTAAGACCTTTCACACATGTGCTTCACAATGGAGACCACAATCCACCAAGCCGTCTAGGAGGTGGTAACCTCCAAGAGTAACAAGTACCACCACCGGCTTGCAACTCGATCACCTAATACCACACCTTGCAATATCTTAATGCAACGCACTAGTGATCACACCCACAATTGAATGCACTCTCCACAAGTGGATCAGAGGGCTATCAAGCACTCACACTTGGATACAATGTCCCCAAGGTGCTCAACCAGCCCAATGGCCATCCACTCTCTACTTGTAGAGAGGGGAGGGCCAAATAACCACTAGGGCCTTTGCCCCACGCTCTGCGTGTCCTGGCGGTCCCACCATCAGGGAACCAACGGTCGGCGCGTGCCTCCAATGGTCACCTGCCTCGATGACCCCACTAGTCAGCGTCACAACCTGGACGATCCGATCAAGCTTCACCTTGGTTCGACCGTCCAGTGCAACCAGCACACAAACAGGCCTCCTGTCCTACGCGGCCATCCAGCCCAAAACGGGACGCATCTGGTGGGCTTTAAGCCAACACGCTCAAAACAAACTCTCTGGTAGAATATCACGGTTCAATTTAGAATAGCTTAACTTAGAAATAACTCTAGAAGTTAATTTATTTTAAGACGGAGTATCATAAGTATTAGTATTTTTTATAAATTTAGTTAAATTTAAAATAATTTGACTTAACACAAGTCTAGAAGTTAATTTATTTGATTTTGAGACGGAGTATTGTGAAAGCATACCGATAGTCAAGCATGAATCTATTTGATGATGGTCTCCACGAGAACTACTCATATAAATAATTGAATTCTGAAAGCATACCGATCGTCAAGCATGCATCTATTTGATGCGTACAACAGAGCAGATCAACAAATCAAACCGTTCCCTAATTAGTAATTACCCTAAACCCCTAGCTAATTACTAGTAGTAATTTCTTACTATACTCCCTGGGCGCTGAAGACTCGAGAGCTCCCGCAGGCGCCAACGGTATTCCCAATCTTCCTCGGCCTCCCGCCGCACCACCGCCGTGCCGCGCCGCCACCTCCCATAACGCCGCCTCTCATGGTGTCGCGACCAGGTCCCTCGTCCCGTGGCCTCTTTTCCCCTGCCGCCGGCTCCGCTAGATGCTTCCTTCCCCGGACCACCTGGACGACCCTGAGCAGCAGCATTATGCCCTCCACGTTGAGGTTCCACCACCCGAGTCCACCGCTGCCACCGGATCCACGGCGGGCGTCGCGAAGCGGCGCGGCCCGGTTCGTCTCGATGGCGTCGAGGAGGTCTGACACGACCGATTTGCTTGGCAGCGCTGCCGTGGAGGGCCGCGAGCTGGCGCCGGCATTGGCGGCGCCGAAGCCGGTGCTGATGATCAGGTGCCGGCCGGGCTGGAGCACGCCAGCTAGCAGGGATCGGGTAAGCAGCTTGACGACCGCTGACGTGCGGACGGCGCGCTCCATCTGCCTGGCGCGGTCGGACGGCGCGTCGGCGGCGGCCTGTCCGGCGGGCGAGGTGTGCCTCTTGAGGCGCTGTATCCTGGCGTGGGCACGGACCCATGGGTTCGTGTTCAGCTCACCAGCAAGTTCGTCTCCACCTGGAATGAAACACCATCGTGCACAGCTAAATTTGTCAGATGCATTGATGGCGTAATTCCAAAGTACTACTACCGATCGTGCCATGGACTTCTAACATTCAAATTCGTACCATCGGCGGCGGCAAGGTCGTGGTACGCGCAGAACCGTGAGAAGATGTCCGCCATCGTGGCGCACTTCCGCTCCGCCGCGCCACCCGCGGCGTCAGGCGGCACGACGACGGCGTAGAAGAAGCCTGGGAGCTCGAAGACGAAGGCGCGCGCGTCGATCCGCGCCACGAGGGCGTCGCGCGCCAGCATCCACTGGTGGTCGCCGACGGTGCAGGTGGCCATGGACACCGGGAGGCCCTCCACGCGGGCCATGTGCAGCGACAGGCTCCCCGACCGGAACAGGTGCGCGGCCTCGAAGCGGTCGCCGCACAGCACGAAGAGGCTCACCGCCGGGCCGCGCGACGCGCCGGCGTCGATGGACAGCAGCTCCGTCTCCATGCCCGTCCGGTACTCCCGCGTCCGGCCGACTCGCAGCGCCGGCCGGCCCGCCGCACCTGCTCCTCCCTCCCGAGACGCCATCCGGTTGCCGGTTGGCAATGCTGCTCGATAGAAACACAGGTTAGAACACCGCACGTTGCCGCATGTAGAAGAAAGCTGGCTTCAGGTCTTTCAGGTATTGCTAGCTGCAAAGGCAAAAGAGAGAGGGGGGAGGGGGGGAGAAAGACACAGGTAGCAGAGGAGAAGGAATACAGAGATCTATCGCTGGGTTGTACGAGGCTGAGGCCACGGTCCTGGCCACTCTTAAATAAGACTGACCTGCAGGTGACGCGCGCGCTCTGGCCTGGGTCGCCTTGGCATGCAACGCGAAAACCAAGGGCGGGAACGAGTCTGCAGCTGCAAGTGCCGGGGTGCGCGGGCGTACGTGGGAGCCGCGGGCACGCAGGAATGCATGCACGCGCCACGCACGCCGCGGGGGACACCTCGCACGCGCCCAGCGCCACATCGTCTGCGGCCCGGGCCCGCACCGCAACACGTGGCCCCCACGGCGCGACGTGGCGGCCGCCCCGGCCACGCGCCCGCCTGCGCTGGCCCCCCGGCGTGCCGCGTTGCGCGCTCGCCCGTGCGACCGGGCCGCTGCTCGCGCTCCGGGTCCGGCCTCCCGCGGCCTGCGCTCAAGCGCCATCGAGTTCGCATGCCCCCGCGCTCTTCGCAGCTTTTGCCAACTCGCACAGGCGGCGAGACGAGATCCAACACTTTTACGCGCCAACTCCTTGAAACATTATTTCAGCTGCTATAGAGTCGAAGAGAAATTTACGGCGGATCCGTGGATGATCCTCAGGGAAAAAAACATCTCGTCGACCGTGGCTTGGGAGACGATGTGTACGTAGTACGTGAATGCATGCATGTGAGTATGTGATCCAGCGGCTTCCAAATTCTGATCGAGCAACCGGCAACTGCTACTCTCTCGTCGCCTAATTTTCGTGATATCGTTTTCATCACCTGGATATATCGGAATTTTAGTTGATAGTGACGGCTTAGCTAGGAGGAGCAGCTACCTACCTATACATATGACGCAAAGTTTGCACAGTCGCACTCGTATATACTACATGCTTGTCAACAGAAAAATCAATAAACACGTCTCGCTAAACAACAAGCACTGCACTAACTCACTACAAACATCTCTAATGGTCAACTCTAAACAAGCAGATGATGACACACGGAAAGTCCTATTTTGACATAGCTTCACGCTGACCATTTCAAGAACTATTGAGAGCTGTTTTTTTACCAAACGAATTAGAATATAACTACTTCTCAAATAGAGCTCTTCAAATCTGGTTTCACAAGCGGTGGACGCCGGATAGAGCTAAAAATTTTAAGTTTTTTCAGCTCCCTCTTCCAGATCTACTATAAAAAGTTGGTTTACCAAATGTTTTTCAAAACAGCTTTTGGCTCCACTGGTAGAACCCCTTAGCTGAAGAAGAAAAAAAAAGCTGATTTTTACTATATGAATGGCCTAAAAACCAATACCTGATTTTTACTATATTGAAGGCATCTAAAAATCAATACCTGATTTTTACTATATTGAAGGTGTCCTATAAGTTGTTAGTCTGATATATCTAACTAGAAGACTACCCCGCAGGCATTGCTGCGGGATTTTCTTAAAACTAGATCTTTTACATTCGTAGCATTACTATATGATATTTTGTATATATATATATATTTTTTTTTAAAATAATTACATGGGAGTATATGGGGTTCAAGTTAAAACTATAGATATTAGATTTGCACTTTGTGCTCATGATTTGGTTGCCAAACTATGCCCATCGTTGATGTTTCCATTTTGAAAAAAATATCTCTTATTTTTTCTTTTACATCGGTGGATCTCCTGCTGAAGATAAGATTAAAGGGATATGATAGAAAAAAAGTTTGAACTGCCATCATTCAGCTGGTTCTTATACTAGGATCAGTTAATGCTTACATTATCTTATTATTTGTGCAGTAACTGGCCTACATTTCCACAAATATTTTATCAAAGGACGATAATTTGTTGAGGAATCTGATATTATACTCATTATGCACCAGGCAAGTGAGCTCATCATGGCTCTTTAGTTACTGCACTATCCGGATAGCATTCAACTAAACTTCAGTTTTTCTTCCTAATTTTCTTCAGAAGGGTGAACTAAAGGAGTGCTTCCCTTCTGTGAGGGACAAGGCATGGAGGCAAGGTGGCGAGCAACGGCTCGGAGACGATAATGGAGGACTGTTGTTCGGTAATGCTGTGATCAAAGCGGTATCAGTTGAGATTCGATTACGGGACGGCTAAGGGCAAACAACAGTAACGAGATATATTACTCTTTGTATGTACTACCTCGGTCGAACAACGCGTATGTGTTACTGTTTGCATTCAATAACGTTAAATTTGTTTGAATGCACTACCTCGGTCGAACACACACCATCAGTGTTCTTGGGACTTGTTTTCTAAGTGAACTAAAATAGTAGTTGTCGAATTATCTTCGTGTGTATTCTCTGTTTACAATATGGTGGGTAGTGTTATGAATCACTTATTAGTGATCAACCCAGAAGGCACCCCTTCATAAGTTGTTCCTTCATATATATATATATATATATATATATATATATATATATATATATAGAGAGAGAGAGAGAGAGAGAGAGAGCCATAGATCAATGAACGAACAAGAGTTTCTACTCTCTCATTTGTCTGTTGAGTCTCTTGCTTTACTTCAAAGATACTCTACTCTAAACACGTTATCAGCAGTGGAATGCTCTCTCTCTCTCTTCCCTCGGAAGGGACGAACAGAAGCCGTCGCTGGCGTAGGAACAATACTTCTCCGGCAACGACGAACAGGAAAGGATAGGACGAATCAAAGTCCGTTTCCAGTGGAGAAGAAGATCGAATAGAAGATTGGAGGATGGACGAGAAGAAGATTTCCATCGGTGTCTCACATTTTCTGCAACAATCAAGCACTACAGTAAACCATCTATTGATGTTAGTCTTACCTTGATCGATGCAACGACATCTTCATCCTTCGTCAATTCCACGACAACAATGTCGCAGCCACCATGTTCTCTTCGGCTATGTTCACCGTGGTCTGTCTTGAACCCGAGCAACAACGCCGTGAGATCGAGCAACAACGCACGGGGAGTTCGTCCGGTGCCGGCACCAAGTCGGCCTTGGCACCGCCTCAGGCAGATCCTCCCTAGCGGAGGCACCTGCGGCCCCCGGTGACCCCCGCGGCCGATAGCACTGCACTCGCGTCTCCCGCGATCGAGCACCGGTGACCCGCGCGACCTCTGCGCAGGTAGCCCCACGTGACCCCGAGCGGTACGGCGGTTGTGTCCGCACGTCTGCCCTCTGCTCGCAGGCAGATCGACCTGCGGCCCCTGGCGGCCTTCGTGCCCGCGACCCGGAGGTTCCTTGCTCGCCCATGTCTGCGGCCTCGGGCCCAGCGGCCAACGAGCACGACCCCACGGGATGCACGTACGGCCAACTCCGGCTGTGCGGGTCGGCGGTTGTCGGCACCTGGTCTTGCGGCCCCTTCAGCAAGGAGGCAGCCGGCACCGGTGCTGTGCACGCCCGCGTCCCTGGCCTACTACGGCTAGAGACCCGCGCGTCTGCGGGCCTGTGCCGCGACTGGCGGCTGGAGCCCGCGGCCAGGCAACCCGGTGGTGGCTGGCGCGCCCCCGTGCGGTGTTTTAAATCTCCGGCTAAGACATTTTAGCGGATGACCTCGAAAAAAAGCTATAGCGGAGCTAAATGGAGATATAGCGGGCTGTAGCAGCTAAGTTCTACATAGACACAAATAGCTTAGATCTTTCTCAAACAGCTTGATCTTTCTCAAACAGCTATAGCGGGCTATAGCGGAAGCTATAGCCGGAGATTTAAAACCTTGCCCCGTGCCCAGCCCTTGTGGCCAACTGCTCCCGCGGCGAACCGCGCTGGCAGCCTCCGCGCTCCGTGGCCGGCCAGCCCGAGCCCGCGGCAGCGGCCCCCCACGGCCAGCGCCCCCGCGGCTGGAGCCCCGCACGGCCGACCTTCTCCCCGGCGGCGGTGGACGGCCTTCCTAGAAGCCGGCGGCGGTAGCATTCTCACGCCACGGGCCGAACAACGACGATTTTTTTTCAATAAGGAGAAACCGTCGTGTGTTTGGATAAGGCTGCGTACTTTTATAGAAAAGGTCATACATTTTCTGTAAAATAAACAATTATTTTCTGAAATAATTGTATTCTATAATTTATGTTTTAGCCCATAGGTTAAAACATTAATCGCAGATCTTATTATCTATATTTTACAATGTAGTCTTCTCGCTACCATATATTTTACTATGCTTTATTTGCTGCATGCAAATATATATTCTGGATCTTCATATCTTCAAAAAAAAAATAGCATAAGTGACATATATATTTGCCTTTGAGCCATCAGCTCAACTATTGTTTTCTAGTTCTAGATCGGAAGTTATTCTAGACTAGAATTGGTACTGTTCAAAGAGTTTGCTTTGTGGCATTCCCAATAACAAATACTACTATTGTTACATTGTTCAAAGTGTTTGCCAATGGCAATTCCCAATAAAATATAACCGATGTGTTGAATATATTGTTCAAAGTGTTGTTCTATGACATTCCCAATAACAATATATTCCACTTTATTTTATATGTAATTATTTTTGCATTTATTCATTTTATGCAAATATTTTGTGTGATTACCTCATCATTTGTGTATAATGTTCTAAAAATTTGCATATTGGTCATACACAAGGTAGTACCATAGTACTACTACGGGATCTACACTATGTTATACATAGTGATTATCCTCGACGTGCGTACCCAATATTAAGTTTTAAAACAAATGACCTTCACTTTCAAGGTGACAACTTTTGTTTATTTTTTTCAAAATTGTCCATACACAAGGTAGTACCATAGTACTACTGTGGGATTCGATCCTCAACGTGTGTACCTAGTTTTAAATATGAATTGCGAAAGGGTCTACACCTACAAGTGATTGCCATAATTCATTTTTTAGATTGGCCATACACAAGCTAGTATCCCGATACTACAGC